TAGGGGTGGCCTCTGAGACAAAAAAAACACCCAGTGAATTTTCACTGCAAAGCATGAATTTTAGCCCAACTTTTCCAGGAATTAGTTCAGCAATGTAAGTGATTACATTGTGTTAGTGTATTATAGTGATATAACAGACTAACGTCCATATGCTCTGAAAATCCAGCCACCTGTGATTGGTTTAATACTGAAGTAATCCATGGGAAAGTACTGTACATTGATTGAACACAGCCATACCTTCCTGGTCATCTTCCATGGCTTGGAGGGAAGCAGGAACTATCATTTTTTTCAGTTGTGACATAATCGCAAATATAGCATAGTTGGTTTGCACTATTTGTGCAATGGTATCATGCTATATATGATGTCTTTGTAGCTCATACTTAGTGTCTGTTGAGATTCTCAGTCTTCCAGGTCATGGCTGTCCCAACGGTGCTTTTTCAAGAGGCAACTGGACTTTCTGGGTTTTTTTTGAAGACATTTCGCTCCTCATCCAGGAAGCTTCTTCAGCTCAAGAGCTTGAGTCCAGTTGCCTCTATCTGGTTTTTCTTTGAAGACATTTCGCTTCTCATGCTAGAAGCTTCTTCAGCTCAGAGCTGAAGAAGCTTCCTGGGATGAGAAGCAAAACATCTTCAAAAAAAAAAAAACAGAAAGTCCAGTTGCCTCTTAAAAAAGCGCCTTTGGGACTCATACTCAATCCTTATACCCACCATCATTGTGTATTCAATGTGTCCCTATTTTATATACTAAAAACCTCTCATTTTGGATGAAGATATTGATATAGGCCTAATGGCATCATTCTGATATAACAGAAAGATAATAGTTTTGGATGAATATAAAATAAAACATTTTTTAAATAGTAAAAATATACTAGGGTATACTGGGAAAGTTGATAGAAATGTTTGGCTCTTATTTTCTTATTTGTGGTTTCAGGGGTGGAGGATAACCACAAAAGGATGTTTGTGTGAAAGATTTGTAAACATTTTAAGTAAATGTAATATTTTCTTCCAGAATTATAAATAAGCAACTGGTTCTTTGGGGGGTCTTGAATTTATATTTGTTTAACATTAACCAAGGAGTTTCACCAAAAAATACTTTAATTAGTACCATTAATCTCAATGAGATGTTTACCATTTTAATCTTGTTTTTGACAATTGTTTGATTCTCTTTGCACAAAACAATTGATTGAGACTTTAGAGATTTTCTACTTTCTGACACCAAACTTTTCAGAAACGAAGTGTGTACTGTCAAAGATTAGTCTTGATAATTCTTTGAAACATGAAAGGGAAGTCAACAACCTTTTTAAACTATATTCCATATTTAAAAAAAGAACAACATGTTGATCAACTTTGAGTTGGGCATATATGAAATGGTGAAAAAAATATATCTTAGTTTATTATTTAAAAACCATGTTTACATTAGGACAGCCCACATATTCAAAGTCTGTAGAAGGAATATCAGAAATAAAAAGAAAAGAGTTGGAACAATTCACAGAATCCAAAATTTAATACTTTTCCTTTTATTTAAGAATATTATACAAGGAAAGTATTCAGTTGAATACAAACTAAATGAGTGTTAAAATACTGTAAAATCATTTGTATAAAAATACTTAGAAATGACAGTTTTTTTTGTCTTTTTTTGGTTTTATTTTCCTACATTTCATTTGCTTTTTTTAAAACATAGTGTTATGTTGATATTATCTTTTTCTTCCTTTTATTAGTTTATACTTTATAATAATATACTATTTAAAAAAGAAACAAGCACCCACGCAACAAATTTGAAGATATGGGAGATTTCTTTTTAATTTTAAAAGATATTAATTTTGTTATGTTGTAGCTTACTAGTATTTGTAGGGAAAACATAGCTGTTTGCTCCATTCTAATTCCAAGATAATTTGGAACACATTTTAAATAACTACTAATATGATTCAACAATTTGACAAGGACAGCAAATTAGTCGATTTCAGGGAAGTATTCACAAGTCATATTTCAGATCATATAATAAAATGATTGTCATCAATCTTAATTCAGTTTGCACAGTTTAAAAGTTGTTGGTTTTGCTTGCAATACAATACGGTGCTCTGGCTATCTTCTCAAAAATCAACCAGATTGAGTACTGACAAGGTTAGGAAAATTACTGCACCCTCAAACCAAGTGCTTGTATATTAATTCATTTTGACACAATTGTCTGTACCCATCAAATATAGCCATAAATGGACATACATACCTTCCTAATTAATATATCAGTCTTGCTTCCTTTTTATAGCCATTTAGGAGAATGGATCAAGAATACATTTAAAAGCCAGATTTAATGAACACTTAAAGTTTAAATGGGTTTTCTTTTAATCTCTTCAACAACTATAACTTTTTGAAGAAATTCTCCCCAATAGGACTTTGATTTAAAATCTGTTTGAAATCAGATTGTTCATCTGACTTTTTTTTTTTTAAAAAAACCCTCTAAATTCTGTTAATTGAAAATTCTAAATATTGACCACATAGGGGCTATTAATATTATTGCATTCAGTAACAATAACTGATAATAGCTGTGATATAAATATGAAGACTTTCAAAATACCAAAGAATTCCCAGTACAGTAGTAGTAATAATAGTAATATTAATAACAATAAGCTACTGTTTGTGCAGTATTACAGATAACTTTCAAACTATAATGGAACTCCTAATTTAACCTGGAAATAAGGAGAAACTTTCTGACAGTGTGAACAATCAACCAACAGAACAGAAGTTGCCCTTGGAAGTCATGGGAGCGCCATCACTTGAGACCTTCAAGAAGAGATTGGACTCCCATCTGTCAGAAATGGTGTAGGGTCTCCTGCTTGGGTGGGGGGGTTGGACTAGATGACCTACAAGGTCCCTTCCAACTCTGATTATCTGTTATCTGTTATCCTACATTCCTCTTTTTTTTTTTTTTTTGCTTCAGAGCTCTAGAAAAATACATTAAATGTTGTATTAACTGACTTTTCTCTTTAATTTCAGTCTTTAATTATTTTCCTTTAATCTATATATGCATACACAACACTTCCACTTGCAATTTCAGTACACTTAAGTATGTACCTTTTGCATGGATTTGCATGGACAAAGACAGGAAGTCTTATTTGTCTTTTAAATGAATTGCAATTTCAAAAATATGTACATGTGGAAAAAGGGAACTGGGTGTTCAAATTCCAGCTTTACTAAGCAAACTGGTCGGTCTGTCTGGCTGTCTCTGTCCCTCTTTCTTTAAAAATTCTAGGGAGATGTCAGTTCTAGATTTAGTTATACAAATACTTTGAAAAGAATGGAGCTCACAATAGTGATAATAATTGTAAAAATTGGATTATAGATAATTTTGGGACAATATTCTATGTGCACTTTAGTTTACTATATTGACAATTTTATATTTATTCATAAGAATTTTTGGTTGTTAAAATTTCCCCTAACTTTTTCTAGTCTGTTCAAAATGTGTTATGAATGCTTGCAGGAGTAATTTTTCAACCATTGAATTTTCATTTTTATGTAGCAAATAAATGAAAGTATATTGAAGTTTTTCATGGTTTCCAGAGAAGAAAGCACCCATTTTAAGAATTTTATTCAGAAAATGAATTTAAAAATGAGCTGGAAATTATACAGTATAGATGTCTACATAGTTACTCAGAACTAAATCTCATTGCATTCAGCAGAAACTGTTTCCAAGAAGATGTGGAACTGCATAGTTTTAAAACTACGGTGATAATGAAATTTAACTTCATCGCAACTAAGCTACTTTTCAGTCTAAACTGAAATTCCATTTATATGTAAATCTGATCTAATTTCTTATAATTATCCACAAACATTTATTGTAATTTGGGCAAACTGGCCAATCTCTACTAAGAAGAATACTATCAATGGACATAACTCTAAGACCAAAACTGACGATACCTCCAAACCAGTGGGAACATTTTAACTCCTTGGAACATTCTACTATTTACCACAATACAGCAAAAAGAACAGGCACAGCAAAAACAGGTATTTATTATGAAGCAGCATTAATTAGAAGCATTAACACCAGGTGTTTACTCATGGATTAAACAGAAAGTGAGACTCACACTTTATGTGTTAATTAATTCTTCATTTCTGTGTTTTAGATAATCCTTCCTTCATAAATCTCAACCTTTCCTTCCAATCTAAAAAGCCCAGTTTTATGTCTGTTTTTTTTTTTTTAAGGATTGTGGTCTGTGCAATTACTAAAATGATCTGTGATCTACAACTTTAGGTAATCAAGAAGTGATGCCTTTTTTTTAAGATCAGTTAATTTGTTGCCTGATCAACCCATATTTAAATAATTGCATCTGACTTAATCCAACTCCAGTATATCCCTGCCATGTTCTGATCTATTGAGTAGCGACACCAGGTTGAATGAGAATCTGTGGAAGTGTACACTTCAAGACCAGATCTAAATCTCTTCAAAACTCTTCTGCAATTTTTTTTCAGGCATTCTTCCTTCCCAAAGTTGGGACATCATCTCGTTCTCTGCTGATGTTACTTGATTTGTTTCTTCACGAGTTCTTTGAGTCTGCTTTGCTGACTGGCAGAAGACATGTTGCAAAACGTGATGGATGAATGGCTTGTTTCAAATCTTGATTTCCCTATTTTGGACGTGTGCTGATTTGACTGTTTTATTTTTGAATCTCAAATAAGAAAATTACAGTAAATCCACTGCAATGGTTAGGGAAAGTCCAGGAAGGATTACAGTTGGAACAGAATATACTAATAATTTCTTAACACCTGCCTTGGTCTATTTGGTTTTTTGCACATGTGGATGGAACTGACCCTGAGATGTTACGTCAAGTTGGGAAATTTGTATCATTTTCCAGTAGGTCTGAGGGATGTGTGTTTCTGTTCAAATGTAATAAGTTCTATTGACCTGTTTGCTGGTCATTATCTTGCCCACGTGTGGACTTTCTTGGAACACAGATCATTGGCTGATCCCAACTAGGGGAGGGATTCTGTGGTCCTTAAAAGCTGCTCCTCTGCTCACTTGCCTACAAAGCAATCTTGGTTTATCCCAGAGAGAGAACGGACAAGACAGATTTATTTATTTTTTTAAAAAAATCTAAGAACACAGCCTTACTCAAGAAAGAAAGATGAAACTTCAAATGATCTGCATGCTCTTCATTTTACTTAGTGCTACTACCAGAAACCTCTGTGCATTCACCATTCAGGTAAGAACCAAATTAATTATTATGGCAAAAATTGGCTTTCCAATTTCTTGAATATTTTCTTTCTCTTCTGAAATAGCTGTTTTGCCACCCTCATTATTGCTTTAGTTTTAATATCTTCTCATCATGTCCTTCAGCTTCCTTCACGGAGCTTGAGCTTCATTTTAGCCAATGAAGCTTCCTCCCACCCCCAGGTTCTCCACTTTTCTCTGTCTTTCCATTCTTCTGTAAGCCTGCTGGCAGTCCTTGCTTCCTCGTCTGAGAAAGCCCATGGAAAGCAATATCTCTTGGAGATCTTCCTCTAGTGTTTATAAGAAGCCAGGAAGTTGCTGGAGAGAAGATAGTTATTGTGAAAGTCAGGATGTCCGTACTTCTCAGCTGTCTGATAATTAATGGATTTTTAAACATTCTAAGCTTTTCAAAAGCAGGATAGCAGAGTGAGGTAGATGAAAATATAGCTGGTCTTGTGACTGCTAAAGGAGTTTTGGAGTTGGAATACTGGGCTAGAACTGGGGAACGTTGATTTTATGACCTCACTTGATTGTGGAACTCATCAGATGATTTAGGAGCCATCTCGGGGTGTGAAGATACCCCCTTTCACATGTGGCCCTCTAAGTTCTCTGACAAAAGGTGGGCGACATACAGATATGTAAAATTACACAAATAGACAAGTTGATGGCCCAAATAGTCCCTTGATGGCTTTGGGTTGACAGCTAAATAGTTGGGAGGAGATTCCTGAAGAAAACTCAGGATAGAACTACACTGGGTTGTTATAAAGTACCAGACACACTGAAAATCAGGATAGCTGAAGGTTGAAAGGATAAAAGTTTTCTCCTGTTGTGTAAGTAGCCAAAGAAGTGGCAGGGGAAAATGGAAAGATTCAACCTACTTAATTGTTGTAGCAAACCCCAAATACATCGTTAACTCCGAATTAGTGAAAAAAGAGAAGAAAGGGAGCAGGGCTATCTAGTTTTCTATTGCTGCTTCTGCTCATCATGCCAGCCTATCTCGACAAAGATACTTGCCTTAATAGAGAGTCCTCTACGGGCAAGACACATGCCTGGCAGGTCTATGTGGGCAGCCTATAGAATGGGAAGATGGTAGAGTGTCACTTTGTGGACTCCATTCTGTTCTTCCTGTCCAACAGCAACTGAAGGTAGAGAAATGTCCAGAGAGGTAAGATTGCAAGGGGAGGCTAGCCATGATATTTATTCCCATAAATTGCTCCATTTTCTTATGCTAGACCTAAGCTAGTCAGCTCCTTTTTGTTCTGGTTCCTACTCACGAGAGGAAGAAAACAGCAACAGCATGGGGATTAAATCTGGAGTGAGATTATCATGTTCATCACCTCCAACAGTCCTAACCTTGGCACCAGCCTTGTGCTCACTTCTTATACGTTGCCAACATGGTTAGAACTACGAATAAATTACTGAAATGGCTGATATACGAACTATGTCTGGTGACATGGAAGGTGTCCATTTTGTTTTAGATTGGGCAATCAAGACTGGGCAATCTGCAGCTTAATTTCAAAATCCGTCAGGCTGCTTGTCTGTGATATACCCATTTCTCTGGAGATCAAGAAAAGAGGGAAGGAAGGAAAAAGATCCTTCCCTTCCTCCCTCCCTCCCTCCCTCCCTTCCTTCCTTCCTCACCCCGTCCCATTGCTAATTCCAATTCTTCTAGGGGAATGTGACCCTTGAGAGAACTATACCCCTGTTTGTTAATTTCAAAGATTTGGGTACCTAATGTCAAGCAAGCTGAATTCATACACCTTGGCTTAATCTTCATCTCAAAAATCTTGACAAAATCACATGACATACAATATCTAAACAAACCGATCTTAAGTTCATAGCCTAAGATAGTGGCTGGTTCTCCCACAGCAAACTGAACCACAAGCTAGCCAACTTAATTTTAACTGAGTCTAGGATATTCTGTGAACATAGGCTACTTTGGAAATATATTTTCCTCTTTGAAAATAGAAGGTTTGAAAGAAGTATTTTTGTGTCCTCTTCATTACAGAGAGATGCCCAGAAAGACTTGGCCAGTTTGGACCCTTACAAGACAGAAAGCATGGGACTGCAGGTGAGACCAGTATCTGAGTAATGCTTGTAATATTCCATAAGCGGGCAGAATGGGGAAGACATTGCTCTGTGTGCAATTCATTCAAAATACAAATTTGCACTCTTACATTCTGAACTTTGCAACTGTAGAGAGACACAAAGAGAAGCCTCAGTTGCAACTTCTGTTTTACTTTTGTTTTGGTTTTTTTCACTATTATAGAGCAGTTTAAAAAAAAAAAAAGCCAATAAGATTAATTTAGACCAACGTCTTCAAACTTGGCAAGTTTAAGACTTGTGGACTTCAACTCCCTGAATTCCTGAGCTAACATGACTGGAGGAGGAATTCTGGGAGTTGAAGTCCACAAGTCTTAAAGCTGTCAAGTTTGAAGACCCCTGACCACCTTCAGATTGATATACTAGGAATTGATATACTAGGAATTTTGAAAGCATGCTGGTTTGCAATCTTTCTTAGAAAAATCCACTCCATTCCTTGCACCTCCTATTTGCCTTGTCCAGCACCATGTCAGATTATGATGTTCTCTTCAAGTCCATTCATTAAACGATTCTACCATATGTAGCTGTGTGAAACTACCCCTAACCTCATACCCTCCAGATGTTCTTCATTATAAGTCTCACATTTTCTTCCTCCGCCCTACAGAGAGATTCATTGACAGCTCTCAGAATCCCTAACATTGGACATTAGATGCCTGCAAACAGGACTTAACTCCCACCACACCAAACTATGATCAGTTTGGTGTTTCTATGTTGATTATGAAATCACATTTCAAGAAGCTTCATGTTAAGAGAAAAACAAAAGTCACACTTCAATAGCAGTCTGTCAAAATCTATGTAATAAATTAATCGATCCTGCCAGGTCAGAATATTGGCCTTTCTAACCCAATATTCTGAGACACAGAGTTGTCAACTAGGTGTGATGTTGAAGCTCACAAGTTTTCCCTGAAGGATATGGTCTCCTTCAAACTGCCATTTCCCAACAACTAGTGTTTAAGGCTTGGAAGTTAGGAGACACCATTAGGATTAGAAGCCATTGCTGGTCTGATCTTCTACTCAAGCCTGTATCAGGCCTTGATTAGACATGTTCAAATCAGGTGTCATGAAAAGTTAAATAAGAACAAAAGAGATTCATTGGCAGCCATTGCCACAGCTACTGGTAGCTAATTCCATGTTCTAGGCATGTTGCATTCTGGGCTTGTTGTAAATTCTGGACTTGATCACCACGATGTAAAAAAGATGTTTAGATTCTAGAAAGAGTGCAGAGAAGAGCAACAAAAATGATCAGGGGACTGGAGGCTAAAACATATGAAGAATGGTTGCAGAAACTGGGTATGTCTAGTTTAATGAAAAGAAGGACTAGGAGAGACATGATAGCAGTGCTCCAATATCTCAGGGGCTGCCCCAAAGAAGAGGGAGTCAAGCTATTCTCCAAAGCACCTGAGAGCAAGACAAAAAGCAATGGGTGGAAACTAATCAAGGAGAGAAGCAACTTAGAACTAAGCAGGAATTTCCTGACAATGAGAACAATTAATCAGTGGAACTGCTTGCCTCCAGAAGTTGTAAATGCTCCAACACTGGAAGTTTTTACAAAGATGTTGGATAACCATTTGTCTGAAGTGGTGTAGGGTTTCCTCTCTAAGCAGGGGGTTGGACTAGAAGACCTCCAAGGACCCTTCCAACTCTGTTATTCTATTCTAAATCCTCCTTCTGAAATCCAAACTTGTGCATACCCAGAGAGTAAATTCTTTTTATTTCTCCTGACAGGCATTGCTAGGAAGACCCAAGCGTCACGTCAGTCACATTGCTCTCTGCAGATATTGCTGGGACTGTTGTGGAAACAAAGGTTTTGGTTACTGCTGTCGGACATGAAAAGGACAAAGTCCATGATAGATGACAACTCTGCTATGGAGATGTCCTTCTCCTTGTAGACATGACCACCTTCAAAAAAACCTCCTCCCATTGGTCTCTGGGTCTCCTGACACATTCTCCTTATTTATTAGTTTGACAATATTTGGTGTTTTTGTTTTGCTTGATGTTCTTGTCAGTTCTTGAGAATTAAACGTATTTTTATCTCATATGCGCTGTTACCGATTTGTGATTCTCTACCTCTGGATTATATTTTCCTGCCTTAAGATCTGGCCTTCCCAAATATGGCAAACCACAAATCACCTGATTAGCCTGATCTTAAGAGTTGTAATGACTCAACGGAAATGTGTTTTTTTAAAAAAAAATCATATAATTTTGAATCGAGCCAACAAGGACATAGGCCCTCTTCCTATCCATTCCTTTTCCCCCTGCATCATCTACATGGAAAGCAAATGTGGTATAGATTTTATGTGTAGTGTAGGATCAATTAGCTCTTCAAGACACAGGAACCCAGTAAGGTGGTGATGATCACCTAAGATTGTCATATTTAAAACTGGAATAATCATGCAATCATCCATAAAAATCTCCAGAGTATTTTCCCCACCATCTCCAAATCCAAGACTGGTAAAGCATCAGGAATGCATGTTGAGTACAAAAAAAATATATTTTGAAAGCCTGAGAGTCAAATCCACTAATTCATTTGGCTCAGAACAGAAGGAACATTTTGAGTTTCAGAAGGAAAAAAAGAGGATAGCTGTAGTGGTGGTAAAAGAGTTACAATTCCCTAAATTTCAACAAGTAGACCTGGTAGCTACTTTGGGCGATCAGTAATATTTCCCCCCAGGGAGATGACAAGAAGGAGCTACTGTTATCAATATTTCCATTAAAGCCTTGGGAATTCAGTCCTAATCAGGCAACATGCCTTTCCTTTCAAATACTGGTTAGTCCTCACTTAATGACCGTACTTGAGACATGTAATGGCGGCTATGGTAACAACAATAGTAATTAGGACCCATTGCTATGAGTAAGTGAATTCCATATGGTTATTATGTCCAATGGCATGTGGTTGCCATTGATTTCCTGCTGGCTTCCCCATTGATTTGCTTGTAACTGTGGGCATGTTGCAAAGACCAGAACTTAAAGGACCAGGCATTAATCCCAATTATTCAGTGTTGCTGTAATTTCAAATGGTCACTGATGGAGTCATTAAGTAAGGATTACCTCTAGCAGGAATGTTCTTAGTAGCAGGGAGACTTTACAATAATAATATTCCCTAGGGACTTTGGAGAGATATTCCTTGATAAAAAGATTCCTGTAAATGTCTTCATTTCAATATTCTAATTGCAGTTATACCTTCTGAGGTCTTCTACCCAATCACTGTCTGGGGAGGAGATGCTGCTTGAGTAAACCTACGGGTGTAAGTGGGGATTTCCCAGGAGAATCCATGACCATATAGATGTATAGATTATACCTCCCTGCAACTCTAACCTATGGCCATGTTGGTTAGACTGCTGGGAGTTGTAGTTCAGAGGTATTTGTGAAAGAGTTAGAGGTCAGAACCCATGCATCTAGCAAGTGTTACACAGGAGCTCTCAAGATCTTTTGCCAAATGTTGGATCAGATGTTGGAGTAAAGTTGATCAGAGCCAAAAGGAAACTGCCAGTCGCTTATCCCAAAATATCCAGTGGTCTTTTCTGTTGACATATTCTCATAATCTTCTGGCATCTCCATATTCTCATAGTCCTTGATGGTGCTTAATTCCTTTAAAAATGTAGAAGAAACCAGAAGAAAGACTTGAGTTCAAATGACTTAATAAAAATAGTTAAACTTTATATTTTAAGGGCCTTACACTATCTGGAAGGGTCTGCAGGAGGGAACGATGGCAAATTATGAAATATTGTCATGACATAAACCATAAGACTTGGACCCCAATATGAATGGCCAAGGTTTGCATCACAATGTTGTGACATGATGCAAATCTTTCCTCATTTTTGTATCATTCCTATTGGTACCAGACTCCTGTGGAAGAGGGATGAGCCAACATTTATCTTTTGAGTAAATATTGAGTACAATTTAGCTGTAAAAACTAATAGTTTCAAACCATCATTTGTGATAATACTAGGATTGGTCCATGAGGTAAATGCCAAAACGAAACACATGATTTGGGTGACATATTGTCAGATCAACAAATCTCTTTAGATTATTTTACTTTAGACTTTTGATTTAATTTTAAGTTTCTGCAAAATCTAGGAGATTTTGTGCACCCTCCCACATAAGAGCACTGTGTTGCTGATCTCAGATTATGTTTGGATGATGATGTAATAGACTCCATAAATATTTTTCAAAACTGGCAACATTAAGATGTGTGCACTTTAATTCCCCCAATTTATTTATTTACTTTGTCATATTTAAGAACTGCCCATGAAGTGTGTGATGGCCTAGAGGTGGAGCTCTCGCTTTACAATCAGGAGGCTGTGAGTTCGATCCTAGGTAGAGGCAGATATTTCTCTCTCTGGGCAAATCGAGAATATATCTGCTGAACAAAACTCCGCATTGGTGACAGGAAAGGCATTCAGCCATTAAAACACACTGCGAGCTCCATTCAGTTGCCCAGATTCCACCCCACAAGGGATTATGGGGTCATTAGAAGAAGAAGATGATGATGATGATGATGATTTAAGAAGTGCCCTTCTTCCTCTCTCACGAGTTAGCAAAATTCTGGGAATTGAAACCTGCACATATTCATGTTCCCAAGTTTGAAAAACACAGATCTACTGTACACGAAGAAAAAGGGTGGGAACCACTGGATCAATTCACCAAGAGTTGGCAACCTGAATCCTTGCAGATATTGCTGAGCTACAACTCAAATCACCATCATCATCATGGACTATGCTGTCTTAGGGTTCTGAGCACTGAAAGTCCACATCTCTGGATACCATTGGGTGAACTTAACAGGCATGGATGGGGACTTTCCAGGAGAATCCATGACCACCTAGATGTTGTTGGATTGTACCTCCCTGCAACTCTAACCTATGGCTGTGTTAGTTGGGCTTCTGGGAGTTGTAGTTCAGGTAAGTGGATCTGTGGTTCCCCATGCATCTAGCAAGTGTTATGTAAGTACTGTTTCATAGGAGATGCTGCTATTCTCAGTTGCCCCAAGATTGCTTCATACATTATCAGCAGCTTGGCTTCCTGGAACATTGGATTTGTTGTACACGTTGAGTTGCTCCTCCTCGTTATCTTTAGATGGCTTTTTTGTGTTAAGGTAAATAATTTCTTCTCCACTGCCATGTATCCGGGGATTTTCTGCTTGCTCCTCCCCTTCCTCCCCTTGTTTCTTCTCCTTTTTCCGGCTGGCCAAAGAAATGTCATAAAAAATAAAGAAGGAAATGACCATCAGGGAATAAGATAAAAGACAATGAAGGAAAAATATCTAGCCAAATATCGCAGGTAAAGCATTCCTGAAAGGATCAGTGGCAAAAGTATAGGAGGAAAGACCAGTGAAAAAGATTGACAAACGTTTGGAAATTTATCTTAAAATTTGAAGGCACAAGCTAAATAAACCAAAAGCAACTTTGGACTGGTTTGATTGAGACCATTTCCCCATTAGTGAGTTATAGCATTTTTGTAACAAAACAGAATATCATCGTTGAAAGGAACCATGGAGATCTTCTAGTCCAACCCCCCGCTCAACTACCATTTCAGACCAATTGTTGTCCACCCTCTACTTAAAAACCTCCAGTGTTGGAGCATCCACAATATCTGGAGGCAAGGCATTCCACTGATTAATTGTTCTGTTAGGACATTTCCCCCTTAATTCAAGGTTGGTTCTCTCCTAGAATGCTATCTTCAATGGCATCACCCAGCTCTGGGGAGTCATGTCAGGGCGAGGCGAATTATGAAAGCAGCTCTGTCATTTCTGTCCATGTGACATGACATCATGCACAGTCATGCAGGGCAATTCCCAGGAGAAAGCAATTATGTTTGGAAGAGTTCACGGTAGCAGGAAACCAGGCCATCAAAGAATATAGTGGATGGACACCATCAAAGCTGACACCAGCCAGATGATAGAATGACTCAAAGAAGTTGTGCAAGATCATTAGAGGTAGAGAGACCCAGCCCATAGAATCACCAAGAGTCAGTCCCAACTGAATGGAAAATATCATCATCACCACGAATGGTGCTTTTTCAGGAGGCAGTTGGACTTCCTTGTTTTTTCTTTTCTTTTTGAAGACGTTTCACTTCTCATCCAAGAAGCTTCTTCAGCTCTGGCAGGATAGTGGGGAACGGAAGGATTTATATTCAGCTTCTTGAATGAGAAGCAAAACGTCTTCAAAAAGAAACAGCAAGAAAGTCCAGTGGCCTCCTGAAAAACCACCTTTTGAGGCCTGCTATTTTGGTACAATGATGTTTGGATAACCCTCTGAGCTGCAGGACTGTAGTTGGATCTGACTGATTTGGGGAGGAAACCCCTGAGGTTGATTGTCGGAAGTCGGCACATTCCAAAGAATAGTGCCAGCCTTGGAAGCCATTTTTTACTTGGAAGCTTCAAGGCTGCCACATTCAGTGCCTGTGAATTTGGGAGGGGGGATTTCTTAGAGAGGTAGAAGATTAGACTCAACAACGTTCTTTCTCAGAGAGTCAAGGACAAGTTGCCCTGCACCTGGAGAGGAGTGACTGGAGGGATGTCTCCAATTGGGACGAAGATTTGATTGGGCCATGTGATGGACTGATGGGTGCAGGGGGTGGACCTTTGACTTCTCTTTTGGGAAGGGAAAACCCGGAACTCTCAAAATTGGGTTTTCCCAGATGTGCCAATAGGACAACTCTAATAAAATGGAACTTTGAGGAACTGATTGTCTCAGAGTTTATTGGTATGAAGTTGGTTAGTTGGAATGCTGACAACTAGCTTACTTTGACTGATGAAGCTACTTGGATGAGCAGCGAAACATCTCAACTAACAAGAATTGGTCCAGTTGCCATGATTCAATCTTCAGACACCTTTGCCTGAAGGACTGAGAATCTTCATCGACAGATCTGACTGATCCTTACTACGTGTCTTACCTGCTTACTGTCACTTTGTAAGCCAAAATTCCCAGCAAGGTGAAGAGGACGAGCCCTGCAACAGCTCCCCCCAAACCAATAAGCAAAAGGGTGAGGTTCCCTGTAAAAAGAGAGAGACTGGCAAGGAAGTGGTCAAAGCAGGAAGTTTGAGTCAAACGTACCTCCTAAACAACCAGAAATGATGTTTGCAAACCTTTTCCCAACAAATGTCTATCTATGCTACAGTGGGTTGGACTGCAGGCTTGCTGGTAGAGCCACCAGCAATGCCATCACCATGTGGCATCTTGAATGCCTGTGCAGGTCCTCTAGTTTAGTGTTTCTCAACCGTGGCAACTTTAAGGGATGTAATCTTCAGTTCCCAGCATGCTAGCTAGGGAATTCTGGGAGTTGAAGTCTTCAAAGTTGCCAAGGCTAAGAAACAGTGCTCTATCCTTGTGAAGTCAATTATGAGTATTTGAGAGAGAGAGGGAGGGACGGAGGGACGGAGAGGGAGAGACACAGAGAGAGGGAGAGGGAGGGAGAGAGAAGGAGAGAGAGAAGGAGGAAGGGAGAGAGAGAGATGGAGGGAGAAGGAGAGAGAGAAGCAGGGAGAGAGAGAGGAGAGAAGGAAAGGGAGAGGGAGGGGGAAGAGAGAATGCTTGAAGGTGTCTCTCCCTGCTCCTAATCCAGCATCTTAACCACTATACTACTCAGGTTCTTCACTTATATGTCCATATAGTTTTCTTTGGAACAGTAGGGAAATTGTTGCCCATTTCTTTCTAGTCCACCTCTACCTTCTCCACAGGTATCTCTGGTTTAACCTTCCTTAGCCTTACCTGCCTTGATGGTGGGCAAGGCGATGTAGCTGATCCCGTGCTGATTGGTGGCCTTGCAAGATATAGGGGTAAAGTTAGATCCGGGCACCCTCAGGGTGCTAACAATGGTTTGTTCCCAAGAGTTCAAGTCTGCTTGCAGTTCAGAGCTATTGAATTCTCCAGGAATGGTGAGGTTTAGAAGATTCCATTCAATTCTTGGAGGGGGGTTTCCCTCTGCCACACAGTAACAGGTGATAATCTCTCCGGTTCTCGAGATAGTACAGTTGCTTTCAGGCCAAATCACTGGCTTGTCTTTTAAAACAAAATACACAGAAGGATTTGTTGCAAAGAAAGGAGAAAGCATCACACTAGGCTGGTATCATCTGGATTTGAGCCATAGCTCCAAACTATCTCCAAGTTGTCCTGTTGTTGTGATGTTCCTTAAATTGCCCTATCAAGAGAGCTCATGGGCACAGCAAAAAAAACACCACAGAATAGGCACAAAAAGCAACTTTATGGCCCAAACTTGATTCACGGTTTTTAAAAAGATTTTATGAACTTTTTGTAGCAGTTGTTAAGTGAACATTGTGGCAATGAAATGAAAGCTGTGCTCATGAAAAGCCAGCCTATGGTTTGCTATGGAGCACTTTTGCCAAATACTGAAAGTAAGCTTGTCATAAAATGCAGTCACATGGCTGTAGGAGATGACCAGGATGACCCCGAGGGAGGAGTCAAACACGTCATCAGTCACGAGTCCCTGCAAGAGATCTAAGTCCAGCCCACCTTGAATGCCTTCCTTATCTCCTGCTAATTTTCCTTGACCTTTAGTAGTTCAGATTCTTGTAGAGAGCTTAAGATTGCAATAACTCTTTACAGCCAGAGGTGGGATTCAGCCAGTTCTCACCAATTCGGGAGAACTGGTTGTTAACTTTCTAAGCAGTTTGGTGAACTGGTTGTTGCAAGAAATCATTAGGGCAGAGAACCGGTTGTTCAATTATTGGAATCCTACCACTATTTGAAACCATTTGAACTGTCTGATTCTCCTGCTTTCCCTGGTGTTTGACAATGGCTGTGAGGAACTTGATGCTGCAAATGGCTCTCAAGGCAGCCTGGTTGCCGAGCGCTTGAAGTGTGGTCATGTGATAATGAAATTTTGAACCCCAAAGTCCCCCCAGATACATCCACCATAACTTGGAATGGTTACTAAGCTACCAGTCATCAGTCAAGGACTTTGTCTATGCAATGTTCTGCCATGGATGGCATGTTTACATCAAGGGTTGGGCTTGCAAAGTTTTCATGCTGACCGTATTGAGCATTCATTAATCAGGGGTGCAAAATAGACTGTCAATTAAAAATGTGTTAGGGAATAACTTGTCAGCTTGTGAAAGGGTGGTCCTGTGAAATCTTCAGCATCTCTACCTCCCAGCATTTCCCTTACATGTATCCCAGACTGCATTATGCATTTACTGTTTTTTTTTAACGGTATATAAATGGTTAAACATGACATTAATTTGATTTAGTGTATACACCTCTTCGACATGGTGAAATATGTCCTTAATTCTACTCCTTTTAACATAAAGCCACATTGCCTCTTGCCACAGTAGGTGGCAGCACCAAGCCAATTTTGGTGATTCTCGAAAAAAAAGTAAGCGGATTTAGATCTAGTTAGCTCAAAAAAATGCAGCCTATCTTAACATGAATGTTAGTGTCTGTAAGGGGACACAAAAGATCAGATTACACAAATATTTGCCCACTACCAGCCTTGATCATCTATTTCTCTCTCTCTCTCTCTCTTTCTCTCTTTCTCTCTTTCTCTCTCTCTCTCTCTCCCTCCCTCCCTATCTATCATCTATCTATCAACCATGTTTCCTCCAAAATAAGACCCTGTCTTATATTTTTTTTGCCACCAAAAAAAGGCACCAGGTTTTATTTTCGGAGGATGTTATCCACTGACTAACCTCACTTGTGCGCATCACCCTGCCCCCTCCTCCTTTTCGCTGTTTGAGGCCTTCGGGAACTTCTTCTGCGGCTGGCAAGGCTTTCCTGAAGGCCTCTGCAGCCGATAATAGAGCTGTGGATCGATCCGGAGCTTTGATATCAGCTACAGAGGCCTTCAGGAAAGCCTTGCCAGCTTTGATGGCTGCAGAAGAAATGGGCTGGCAAGGCAGGTGTTGGGGTGTGTGAGGCCTGGCTACAGCTGTCCAAAGGTAAGTAGTAGGACAGCTCCACCCCCCATCCCCACCTTAATTTTTACCTGTGCATGGGTGGGCAGGATCTTAATTAGGGCTTATTTTGGGGGTAGAGCTTATATTGGGTGCATGTGTAAAAATCAAGCTAGGACTTACTTTCAGGGTAGGTCGTATTTTCAGGGAAACAGGGCTATCTATCTATCTATCTATCTATCTATCTCTATCTATCTATCTATCTATCTATCTATCTATCTATCTATCTATCTATCATCTGTCTATCATCTATCTATCTATCTATCTATCTATCTATCTATCTATCATCTGTCTATCTATCTATCTATCTATCTATCTATCTATCTATCATCTGTCTATCTATCTATCTATCTATCTATCTATCTATCTATCTATCTATCTATCACCTATCTTTACAGAGCTCTTATTAGCCCCTCTTACCATTATTAAGGAAAGAAGAGCAGCAGACAGGAAGAAAAAGGAATGAAATACATGGCTTGTTAGTCAAACATCTATATATAGAAGTGTTTAATAGAGCTTAGAATTCTAGTTCTGGGCTCCAAATACATACAAAACCTCTAGATGGCAGCAAAGAGTGGAGGTATTTTGTTTTGTTTTTTACTAATTCCCTTTGTTTCCATCTAGTGGCTCTACTTTGTTGGCAGAAAATGCAACAAAGTTTTGCCACACTATCTGCTATTGCGATGTTTTTCAAACCTGGCCACTAAGATGTGTGGACTTTAACTCTTAGAATTTCCCATCCAGCTGGGCTGGCTGGAATTCTGGAAGTTGAAGTCCAGACATCTTTAGAGTGACCAAAGTTAACAAACAGTGTACTAGTGAGTATCTGAGCATAAAGGTTAAAGCAGGGGTGGGCTGCTACCGGTTCTCTCCAATTCGGGAGAACCGGTAGCTAATTTTATCATTTTTAATAACCGGTTTGGTGAACCGGTAAATCCCATCCCTGGTTGGCCCTGCCCACTCAGCCCCATCCCTCCCAGGAGTCCCCACATGGCCCGTTTTGGATGCCAGGCAAGTTCAGGGTCCACATGCAGGCTCAGGGAGGACAAAAAACAGGCTTACTGGGGGCTCCAGAAGGCCAGAAATGAGCCCGTTTCCAGCTTCTGGAGGGCTTTGGAGCCCGGAGAGGCCATCTTCACCCTCCCAGAGGTTTGAGGAAAGCCTCAGGAGCCCAGGGAGGGCAAAAAACTGGCCTCCCATGCCCACCCAGCAACCGAGCAAAGAACCGGTTGCTAAAATTTTTGACGTCTACCCCTGGGTTAAAGGTGTAGGAAATAGGAATTTTTGAAAGAAAAGGTGTAGCTCCACCAGACAAACCAGCAGGATGAGCTTGAATTATCACCTTTTCTAAAGCTCTCAGAAGAGACTAGATGAGAAACCCCAACGCCCTGAAAGAGAAAACATTAAGTGGTCCTCTCACACTCCACATTTAGGAAAGTAGGTGGCGAGTCCTCCCCCATGCCAACATCATTTTCTGCCACACAATGGTAGGGCTCCAAGTCTCTCCGGATGTCCTTCAGCTTCACCTCTGGTCCACCACCTGCTACCTTCAGGGGTGCCTTTTGTGGGCCAAAGAACCAGTGGTAGGTGATGGGTGGCGGGTTGCCATGGCTCTCACATCTCAGAGTGGCATCGTCTCCTTCTTTTAGCCTTTGATTCCCAATGATCAAGACAGTTGCATTTTTGGGAGGATCTGAGAGAGAAAATCAGAATGCAAGGAGGTTTGTATAGGCTGTGCTCATCGCACCTCCAAACATTGCCATCTTCTTCATCTCTTTCCCTGCCCCCAGTTCAAAACTAGGATTCAATGTCTACCAAGGCATCGCGTTCTAAATGAGGTTGTCCTTCAACTCCCAGCGGCTGCAGCTGGTGTGGCCAATAAAGATGGGGAGTTGTGGCATACCATCAGTTCACTAGCGTTGCCCTATATACGACTGAATGAATAAGGAGCAGGCAGACAGAGGTGAAGCCTTTGTAACAACTCATTAAGGGGGTTGCAATCATTGGGGGGTCTTTTCTATCCTACTGTACGGAGTAGAGAGTTTTGTCTCTTGATAGAAAGCCACTTGAAGAGACTAGAAGCATTTGACATTTGGATTTACAGGCAGCTGTGATGCAGAAGTTGGGTTGACAAAATCGGAAATGAGGAGGTGGTAAGCTGCCTGGGAAAGCCAAGGGAAATCATCAAAACCAGAGGTGGTATTCAGCAGGTTCTGACCAGTTCTGGAGAACTGGTAACGGAAAAGTTGAGTAGTTTGGAGAACTGGCAAATACCACCTCTGACTGGCCCCGCCCCCATCTTTTCTCTGCCTCCCAAGTCCCAGATGATTGGCTGGGTCTCCTTTGGTTGCCCTGCACAGGAGAACGGAGCTGAAAAGCAGGTTAGTGGGGTGGGAAGAGAATGGGGATTTGGCAGTATCCTTCCCCTGCCATGCCCACCAAACCACGCCCACAAAGCCAGTAGTAAAGCAGGTAGCCAGTAAGTAGGTAGGTAGATAGATAGATAGATAGACAGACAGACAGACAGACAGACAGACAGATAGATCAGAGGTGGTATTCAGCAGGTTCTGACCAGTTCTGGAGAACCGGTAGTGGAAATTATGAGTAGTTCGGAGAACCAGCAAATCCCACCTCTGACTGGCCCCTCCCCCATCTCTTCTCTGCCTCCTGAGTCCCAGCTGATCAGCTGGGTCTTCCTTTGTTGCCCTGCACAGGAGAACGGAGCTGAAAAGCAGGTTAGTGGGGTGGGGAGGGAATGGGGATTTTGCAGTAACCTTCCCCTGGAGTGGGGAGGAAATGGAGATTTTACAGGATCCTTCCCCTGCCATCCCCACCCAGCCATCCCCTCCAAGCCACACCACACCCATCAAGCTACGCCCACAGAACCGGTAGTAAATTTTTTTGAATCCCACTACTGATCAAAGCCATAAAAAAGTGAAAGTTAGGATATTTTAGACATGTGATGTGACACCTGGAAAAAAAATGGCATGATCATGCAAGGAAAGATTGAAGGGGAATGAGGTCCAGGCAGAAGCAGAACATCATGGCTTCAAAATCTAAGGGCCTAGTTTGGACTAAAACCCAACAGCACTTTTTCATGCAGCTGTTGATAAAAATAGGATCGCCAACATGATTGCCAAATGTCCGATGACGGATGTGACACAAGAGAAAGAATCATTGGAGAGCAAGGTCCTCTCCTAAGTGTGTTTTGGAGGGGAGGAATGGGCTTCTTCCCAAGAAATTAAAAAAAACAAACCTGTCAATCAACAGAAGTGCTGATCTATTCCCAGCTTATCAAGTACTTAGGAGACAGGGGATTGGCAGCCCAAGGAAACAACAGCCAATGATTTAATAGCCAGACACCAACCTCCCAATCTACATCTACAGTAAAAAGCTGAAGAAGGTTCTTGGATGAGAAGTGAAACCCCTTCAAACAAAAAACAAGAAAGTTCAGTTGCCTCTTGGAAAGCACCTTTGGGACAACGATGACCCGGATGACTGAGACTCTCCATAGACGTACCTCTAAAAAGCTACAAACACCAGCCACACAATACCACACCAGAACAGCCCATAGCACACAGAGAAGTCTCCTGAGGGTGGGCTCCAACAGGTGTCCAAAAGCTCGGGAGACGAAACCTCTGGTCCCTGTGGAAGATTGGATCCTGCATCCTCCAAGAAAGAGATCAGAGGGAGGCCGTTCTGTCTCCTTTTCAATCAACACAAGGAGCCAATCAACTTCAGGAAAAAAGAGTTGGAACTAGAAAGCCCTGGAGGAGAAAACAAGATCCAGATCTACCCAAACTTATCTTATAGTTGATATTGTCCATTGTGGGCAATATCAAATCTATGTTTACTATTTACTATTTTTATTATTAACTATTTACTAAAACTGTATTATTATTATTATTATTATTATTATTATTATTATTATTATTATTATTATTATTATTATTATTATTAT